TACCCAATGCCTCTCAAACTGACCCACTTCAATTCCCGCAACTCGCTCCGTAACATCCGCACCACTTCGATCCAGCTACTCCCCTCTTTCAATTTCACGCTTCGAAGTCTCACGCTTCTCAACGTGTATTTATGTCTTCTGAGCAAACCGATAATCTCCTCACTATTCAAATGCCATGCTCCAAACCCTAAGTATCTCAGATTCTCCCAGGTGACATTGTGGAAAACCGCTTCGAGGGGTACATGAGCAAGTGGTCTATTAGACGGGAACCCCACATGAAGACCTTGAATCTGATGAGCCGAAGTAAAGAACGTGTTGAAGAGAGCTGAAAGTTGATACATTTTATCATCCGACGGTTCCTGTATTTGAATTTCTAAACAAGTGAGTCTATTTGCCAGAGTGGATATTGTGTTATGGGAATGTGAATTTAGGAGAAATGGAATACGCGGATTGACGAAACGGGATGAGAAACGTGTTGCGGGGGATTCAGACTCGAGAAATGCATAGCCGAGAGCCCGGGCGGAATGTTCGCATGCGGCTGTCCACTCTAGCGGGTCAAGATCGAGAGATAGAATTGGGTCGGTGATATTGTTGTGATTGTTGTTGTTTTGAGAAAAGGCGATCCAGCGTCTTTCTCGGAGGAAGGAAGACCAATCCATATCTACTCTATCCTGAACTCTCATGAGACGAATCTGTTGAAGATGCTTGAACAATCGAAAGGCACGTAGTAAACTCTGTACATCAATTCTATTATTGATGATGGTAGACTGTTCACGTGCTCGTGATAATACTCGAAAAATAGTGAGCTCATCCTTGCGACTGCGGTCAAGCTTTGTTCGAAGCTGCTTAAGCGACGGTCGAGATCTATCGACTTGACGTGCATTGCCATTTACTTGTTTAAGATTCACTTGTCTCTCGAGTTCAACTGTCGCCGCATGTGTCTCATCGAATAAAATCTGGAGTTGACTTAGACCTTTAAACGGGTTAGCGATTCTTCAAAATGATAGGTAAGACCAGAAGATACCTCGATGGTAAAAGACAGGAATCATGTACGAGAACTTCTTGACATGTTCAGCTAAATGAGGACGCTCTTCAACCAAGAATCGTAACCGATTGAAACCAGCATCGGAGCATCGAATGGAGACACGGGCAAATTGTCTTCCTAATAGCAAACTGTAGAATTTCCTGCATGTACGGCTCTGATAATCTTGTCGTTAGAGATGTAATTGAGGATTAATGACGAATAGGAAGGTCCATACAAGAGTTGTGGTAATATTTGTATCCTCTAAGGATTGTGGTGGCATAGATTGAAAACTCTCTACACTTAGAGAAGCTCTATGATCAATGGGAATCAATTTCCCAGAATTATGAACCAGATATTCAAGGATATTCTCTAGAATTTCGTTCGAGAGTTTGAATATAGGTGCAAGCTTGAATCTAGGTGTTCGCGATTTACATAAAGAATATGCTCTGCGGAATCTCCTCTGCGTCAAGCAGAAGTTGAGCACGTGTGGCGATTGAGTCCATGGATTCCAAGAAGGCGGTCTTTCATTATAATCTTCGTAAAGTAAGTGCAAAAAGATTCGAGAAAGGATATCATCTGGAAGTTTTTCAATAGATTTCAAATCGTCCATCTCGAGGAATACAAATGTGATGACTGGACGAAGAGCACTTTTTTCTAGAATGACTTGTTAGAAGAATTTAATGTAATTCATGCAGTCTTACCTCACATAACGAGCGTATTGTTCTTGAGGTTATTCGGAGAATATGCAAGGATATAACTAGAAATAATGAATGTATATCAGATTGTTACATCATAGTGGGTGAAATTGAGTGCCGGCACTCTATGTATGAAATTCGATCTCAACGTCGAGCAGCCAGGTTTTATGATTTCTGACGTGTCGATGCGTCTCGAGGGATCACTCAAGGGATATTTCAACGGACAAATGTGTGTGGATGGATCTCTCCTCAGATATTTATTAGAATTTTATTGTCATGCAGATATATTGCTTCTTTTGGGTTTGGTTGGTCAGAATGATTTCATGGCCTTGCTGCAGCGGCTTGTGGGTTACCGATCGTTCGGTGCAAATACAATCATGTGATCTTGGATGAAAACCAATCAAGTATGGAAGAATGAATATTCAGAGGGTGCAATTGATATAATTTGATACAGGAAAAGATACAGATTTACTACAAGGATTCGCCCATCCATGGCTGCATGGAATGACAGCGAATCGTAGGTTAGCGGAGTAATGGATCGTCTTAATTATTGTATAGCGAACGAATTACGGGTCAGAACACGATGATTGTGGTCCTCAGGCCCTAGCACGGGTAGGTGTCTAGACAAGATGATAAACTACGATGCAGACAAATTGAATAAACTTATCTAATTTTCCGACATCTCAAATGTTGATGGACAAAAAGTGTGATGCATACGATTAGATGGTTCGTCAGATAAATGAAGTACAAATTAGACCGATAAAAAGAAACAAAAATGTATTAACCAAATGGTTAAAGGGTTAAAAGGGTGGTTCTTGCTTGCTTATTATGCCCATGACCTAGTCTCAAGGCGAAACATGGATCAAAAATTGAGAACGAACGGCTTGCTAATGTAGAATGTAACTGAAGGCAAGTGAATGCAACTCTCAACCATTTCTGTCGAATTTAATACACATTCGATAATAAACCTAGTCCAGTAGAGACGCTGATTTGCTCTTTTTAGTGTGGTAAATCCTTCCACAATTATTGGAAAAAGGCTTGAACTCATTTGAACCTATGCATCTGTGAACCTGTGCATTTGTGAGATAAATATGATTGGATGATGGGCGCTTAATTCAAGAGTCCCCGCATAACTCGACTCAATTCCACCACACGAGGAGAGATGTCTGAAGGACCAGCTTTCATTATATAAATTCTCCGCGATTTGATAAAATAGAGTCGAATGGACGTTCCATCCGGTTGCATAATTGGAAAGCCCCTCGTTAGCATGGTTTATAGGCGTTGCTGAATCATGGAAATGGTACTTTGAGGTCGTAGTCGTGGGCATCGATACCCAGACGCCATTAATGTGTTGAATCAATATTGAGAGCTACGTTCCAGACAAAGTGAAGCAGGAAGAGATGAGACGATAAACCCTGTCGGATGGTGATTCCTGTGCATGAACTCTGTATTTCTGCAAATGACGTGCATATTGTGACGGCGCAGCAGGCTCAATATTGGGTCGAGAAATTCTGCACGGAAGACATCACTCTACAACCTTATTTCCGACAACAGTAGTACTGTATTCATCCTTCTCCTTAATATAGGGCCCGGCCAAGCTGGGCTATCTATGCAGAACGAGGCCTCGCGAGGTACAGTTTTGATTAGAGTGACGATTTCCGGGCGCGATCCGCCATCTGCATTCGTATTGCAGTACTACTGATTTTTGAAGCAAAGTCTGATTTAGGAGTAGCCTCGAGACCAGTTTGCGCATCGAGCACGTCGACTTCATAAACCTCTAGTGCCTTCCAGCCCTTCTCGGCCCTTCTATCGTTTACCGCTTGTCCACCCGATCTAGTTTCTCCCGACACAACGAGTGCAGTAACAGATTCGTCCGTAATAGTTGGCCCATAAGCATCTTGAATTTCAACACACTCGATAGTGATCGAGCAAGTTTTAAGTTTGGTATGTATTGCCCGACCATTTGAAGTTGCCAGTGGAACTGTTTGAATTGCTTCCTCCTGACTGGTCTGCGTGAAAGAAAGAATCGATATGAGGAATTCAACGACGTCATGTTGTCGTTCCTCCCAACTCTGCAAGTGATCGGCGTATTTTTTATTCTTCAGCAATTCGTCCCCTGTGATACCGATAATCAATCTCCGGGAAGGGTCCTGAACGCCGGCGGCTGGTTGTAATAAAAGTGCCGTAGCTGTAAGCAAAAGTTTGTGGCCCGCATGAAGATGATCAAACGTGCCACCAACTGCTACCACCATATGGGAGGCAGAAGAATTCGGTTGTACACACTGTAAAGTATTTTGAATCATGCTTACTCCGCCACTGACCATTTGAAACTCTGCACCTAAAGGAGGACTAATCCTATTTGCGAAATGTAAAAAGTCTCGAAGCAAATTTTGTCCTTTCTCGCCTTGCACTGAAAATATTTTGCTCCATTGGCGTCGAGTACTTGCGAAGAGAGGAAGTCCAACGATGGGACCGCCTGCCAAAACCCCAACACTGGCATCACGCTCAGTATTCTTGTCAGTGGACAAGCGTGTAGGATCATAATCCAACAAAACGATGCGAAAATCTACAGCGCCAGGTAGCTTGGATGTAATATCAATATCTTCCTTGGCACATATAGAACAGATCAAGCTGTATAGACCACCCAGAAGCCTCTCCACCTCATTGTAAATTTGAGATCTTGGTTCCTTCAACCGATGCTTGAAACTTGATGAGGCAAGTGCAATTATAAGCTTGGTACCTGACGATGAAGTTTTAAGACTTGAAAGTACCGCCGATAGTGATGAAGAGTATGCAGCGCTGAGAGTTGCTGGTGTAGCTGGCGCGGGGTGTTGAGGGAGCAAAAGTAGGGATTGTGACATGATCGCCAACTAGGTATCTCGCCGACACACTGAGACACTGAGATAGATTAAATCAATTTAGATCTGATATCAGAATCGAATGGAAATATGAATGCAGGACTGCTCGTATAAGTGAACAACGTAATCGGAAGAGGAATGTTTGTGTGGGTAGCTTGTGAATGCATTCATGAGTTGAATGCAAACAAACAAAATACCTAGGTAAGTCAATTACTCAATTACCGGTACTCACTCCATCAGTCAATACAGGCTTCGAGGGGTAATTTTTAGCCAGTTTTATCAGATGTGATGGATGTATGTTAGGCTCTTGTTGTGTCCACCAATGCCATAAACTTTGGCTGCTAATGGCCTAATCAAATCAAAAGCCCCATCAGCCATGCCACCATAACCTTACAAAGTACATACCTCACTGGGTCCCTCCATACTTTCATACCAATGATATAACTTCCAACCTTAATTCTCCCACTTTCTCATCCCGAAACTCCATCAGATTGGGCAGTCAATCAGTCAGTCAGTCTTAGGATTGTCATTATTGCTATTACTACTACCTACTGGTACTGCCACTTTCGTTGTTGAATGTAGGGGAAGGGAGGAAGCAGCCACTCAATTGTCTAACATTTGACATTGAATAGGTAATTTATTCCCTGCGCCTGCGCCATGCCTTTCGATTCTTTTAATATTCACTCAAACTCTCGTTCGTCATCATCACAACAAAATGCGTTACCAGGAAATTCGACTTCGGGAGGTATATTACAAGCCGCAGCAAATCTAGGTAGTTTTGGTATGCCTTCATTGTCTAGCTCTGCCACAGGACAATCTGCACCACCACCAACAACATATGGTTTACCCCATCCAAATTCTTCCATGACGACCACTTCCAACACCACATCAATGAATCAACAGTCTCAACAATACGAAACACCAAGGCGAGCTCGACACGCCGACGAGCTACATTCAAACATGTCTGCGCAACGAGGTGCTTTATCTCCAAGAGATTACGGTGCAAGTGGTCCACGTATGACTTTAGAGCAAGGCACTCCCGATTCATCCCAATATTCAAATGCAGCACCACTGCCAGGTACTCTTCAACCAGGAAGACCAGGTGTGACTTCGACAAATACAGCCCCTTCTATACCCACGATATCGCAAGATCAATATTCAACCCCCTCACGATCCACAGGCCTTTCGCACAATTACACTCGATCTAGCCCAGCGGCAGGATTTGATAGTCAAGGTTTTGCAACATTTCAAGCAGCCACACCGGGCGGATCTGAGCAAAATACACAAAAATATACACCACAAGGCTCTCAAAGAACTGTATCCAATACTCCTCTCGGGCTTGCAGACATTCGGCCGCGTACCGATTCAACACTTGCCGAAGGCTTACCTGGAGCCAATCCATATTCGTATGATGGCACCAGCGCAACACCTACCAACAGCAATTACCTCGCGCCGTGGGCTCTATATGCATTTGACTGGTGCAAATGGCCAGCGCAAAACAACGATGCCGGGAAGATCGCAATAGGAAGTTATCTAGAAGACGGGCATAACTTTGTAAGTTCATTGATTTCACTTTGAGCCTTGAGCAGATAAATCAGTGCTGACATTAATTAATAGATTCAAATTCTTGATTCCCATATCGTTCCCACCCAGTCTGAATCCTATGTACCTGGAGCCCCAAAATATGGACTTGAATTCACAAAGGTTGCCGAAGCCACACATTCATATCCTGTCACTAGGCTCCTATGGGAACCACCATCATCGCAAAAGCAATCTACGGATCTACTAGCTACTTCGGGTGACCATTTGAGGTTGTGGTCGCTCCCATCTGAAACTCCAGTCGCATCGGCAAACAACACCATCGGAGGTCGTACTTCTAATTCCGGTCGAGACCTACCTCCCAGCAAACTTACGCCACTAGCCTTACTTTCTAATTCAAAAACACCAGAACATACTGCACCTCTGACCTCCTTGGATTGGAACACTGTCTCGCCTAGTTTAATCATTACTTCAAGCATAGATACGACATGCACTATATGGGATATTCCCACATTGACTGCCAAGACACAACTGATTGCACATGACAAAGAAGTCTTCGATGTCAGATTTTGCGCAAACAGCGTGGATGTTTTTGTTAGCTGTGGAGCTGATGGAAGTGTGAGAATGTTCGACCTCCGGAGTCTAGAGCACAGTACCATCATCTATGAGCCAACTACAAAGGATGATAAAGGTACGATTTATGAAGCCAGTGTTAAGCCTTTACTAATTGCACTCATAGATACGAGTCCTGGAGGTGGCAGAATAAGTCCAACTTTAGCCCAGCAAACTATGTCCTATGCACCCCCTTTACTACGACTAGCAGCGTCGCCACATGATACCCATCTACTCGCTACATTCTCACAAGATTCCAACATTATTCGTATTCTGGATGTTAGACAGCCTGGACAAGCACTCCTTGAACTTCAGGGGCATTCCTCATCCATAAACTGCATAGAATGGTCTCCAAATAGGAGAGGTACCCTTGCTTCTGGAGCTGATGATTCTTTGGTTCTTATTTGGGACCTACTGAGTCCAAACAATGCCCCTCTTGTTGGTCCTAGCATGAATGGTGCACCAGTATCTGATAATTCTCGAGGACCCACTGCCAGTTGGCAATGTGATTACGAAGTGGGAAATATCAGTTGGGCACCGCGAAGCAACTTGAATAATAATGAGAACGGCGATTGGCTCGGAGTAAGTGGAGGAAGGGGTATCTGGGGTGTGAAACTGTGATGAATTACGATGAGCTTTCAGGTCGGCTATTAGAAAGGAGCATAGCATTATCGCATGTCAAAGCCTGGAGTTCGGTTTCCTGGAGATTGCATCTACAATATTCGAGTATTCATGATTTTATACTCATCGGAGATTATGTATGATAGGAGTGAGGTGGCTGGTCACTTAAATTTACAATTACGAGTAACTCGTATGGCCAAAACTGAAATTTCAACAGCTAAATGTTCGCCTGATGTTACAATATACACACACGATTGTCCGACATGATTATAACTAAAGCCCTGCATCCTCTACAGCATCCTCAGTTATGAGTAGCCTGACAAGCTCCACTTTGATCAAGAATTTAGATCAACTTCCTTGTCATCAATATGCTTACTTGGCAAGTATCGACTACCTTTCCGCATTGAAACACGGTACCAGGCAACTCAAGTCCATGTATATGAATGGTGGTCCTGCGAAAATTCTGAGATTCTAGTATCTACCACAAGCCCATGAGAATTGTGAGCGTGGGAATAAGCTGAATCCATGAGCTCGCAATGCCGTGTAGTCCCTGGTGATTGGATTCAAGACTGGGAGCAAAAATCATCGATTTTTTATCATAACAGGATGCAGGTCTTGGAGTTGAAAGAAGATTCAAACGCCAGCGTAGATTGGTTGAGAGTATATGGATGAACTGATGGTACATCCTTAGAGATGCAACAAAGAAGGACTGAGATCCCAGTGTGTAAAGAGAGCTTTTTATTGGAATATCGAGTCTTTTTGTATAGTTCAATTCAGGATCAGAGGAAAATAAGTCGGGTGTCAGTGAGATCAGCAGCATAAATTTATAACATCCTATCAACTCAACTTGCACACACAATTTAAGATACAACAATCATCTCTAGGAGAGGTTTCACGAGTTCCCTTCAGTCGGGTTTGAATACCTAGTAGTACCTAAGTCCTCAATAAATAAAGATATAACGATGGGCATAAGAAATTGTTCAATTCATCAGCCAATAACAGTGCTAATTACTTAGTAGAATATCAATAACCTCTTGCATCTACTCCCTCTCTCCTCCCAAAAACGTCAAAATGTAGTTGATTCCCTTTTATTTTATAATCAGGTTTCCCTCGAATAATTCATTCCAATACAATTCTCCACTACAATGAGTTGTATTGAATAAGATTTTGAAAAAGAACTGTACAACCTAAGTCTTCGAGCAGTACACTGGCTCGAGTCTCATTGGCTTAGGTAATTCGGGGTTATGCCTAGATAAGTTAGTCCCACTACTGGTCGGAAGGCTGAGGCCATTTTGAACAAAGGTTAGCTTGCCTTGCCTTATATACTTATCCATTGGCCTTGAGATTTGTCTTTTGAAAAAAATCTACAAATACCTATCATTTCCCTCTTCGAATGCACATTTTCTCCTTTCAACCTTTGTATTAAAATGTCTACCTCGAATTTATTGAATAATTCCTTTGATGAAAGCGACGAAGAGGACGACAATTTCAATCCCCAACCTGCGGATCTTTCAGACAACGAAGATGAAGGAAACAACACAACCAGCGCGCAAAGACAAAACGAAGCTTCGCGTCATCAAGTCGGCGATGACGACGGCTCCGACGATGAAGCAGCCCCATCAAGTGGTAGAAAACACGGGTCGGGTGGTGCTCAAGACGACGATGAAGATGAAGATGATGAAGGCGAGGGAGAAGACATTGGTGGAGGTGCTAATGATGATGACGATGAGGAAGAAGAAGAAGAAGAGGATGACGAGGAGGAAATTACGGTAAGCATTTCTGAGCTGCATGAACAATTCCTGTTCGCCCACAATGCAGTGAGCGACATTTTCTCTAACCGCGAAGCGTAGGGACACCGCCGCAAGCGCCGCAGAGACCGTCGCAATGTTTTCCTTGATGTCGAAGCCGAAGTAGATGAAGATGAGGATGAGAATGAGGATGACGAGGATGAATTGAACGAAATGAATCACACTTTCATTGCAGACACACACCCAGATGATATGGCAGACCTTCCAGATGGTGGTGAGACAGATGACAGGCGTCACCGAGATTTAGATAGAAGACGCGAAATGGAGGCGAGTCTTGATGCGGAAAAGCAAGCAGAGATTCTACGACAACGATATGCGAACAAGGGTCGATCATCAAGAGGCACCGGAGACTCAGCGGTCGTTCCAAAGCGTCTTTTACTTCCTAGTGTTGACGATCCTAGTATTTGGGCCGTACGATGTAAAGAAGGAAAGGAAAGAGAGGCCGTTTTCTCTATTATGAAGCGCATAGAAGAGAGAGCTGGTACCAAAGAGGAACTTGCGATCACTTGCGCTTTTGAACGTGGTGGAACGCAATCTACAATGAAGGGTTTCATTTATGTTGAAGCCCAGCGACAGGCCGATATTTTAACTGCTATGGATGGCCTTATGAATGTCTACCCTCGAACTAAAATGATGCTGGTTGAGATCAAGGAAATGCCAGACCTTCTCAGAGTTACGAAGAGTCCAACTGTAGAGGTTGGAGCCTATGTACGACTTAGGCGCCCAGCGAAATATGCGGGTGATCTTGCGCAAGTTTTGGAAGTCACTGATACCGGTCTCGAACTCCGTGTCAGATATGTACCTCGTCTCGACTATGGTCTTCATGAGGATACTAGTGTAGGAGCGGACGGGAAAAGAAAGCGCCCAGTAGCCGGACCACGTCCACCCCAGAGACTCTTCAGTGAAGCCGAAGCTAAGAAACGACATGCAAAACATCTGCAAGGTCGACCGGATACGAAAACATGGAATTACTTCAATGAAGAATATATTAATGGATATTGCGAGAAGGAGGTCAAAATCCAGGCGCTTATCACTAAAGACGTTAATCCAACCCTCGAAGAAGTCACAAGATTTGCTTCTGGTGCCGAAGATGGAACCGAAAATTTGGATTTAAATGCTCTCGCTGCAAGCTTGAAAGCAAGCACAGCCAATGCCTCTTATTTACCCGGCGACGTCATTGAGGTTTACGAAGGGGAACAAAAGGGTGTTGTTGGTAAAGCAGTTTCTGTCACTGGTGATATTGTCACAATGGCTGTGTCCGAAGGAGCATTAAGGGGTCAAACTATCGAAATTCCTATCAAGGGTCTACGCAAGCGTTTCCGTGAGGGTGATCACGTCAAAGTGATTGGCGGCAGTAGGTTTAGAGATGAAGTTGGTATGGTCGTCAAGATTATTGAGGATCGTGTCACTTTGTTAAGTGATCAAAACAATAATGAAATCACTGTTTTCAGCAAAGATCTTCGGGAAGCAAGCGATTCTGGTGGGAGTGGTGCGTTAGGAAAGTACGAGCTTTGGGATTTAGTTCAACTAGACCCATCTACTGTAGCTTGTATCATCAAAGTTGATCGCGAATCGCTTGTTGTTCTTGACCAGAATGGATCTAATAGGACAGTCATTCCATCTCAGATTTCCAATAAGCTCGAAAAGCGCAGGAACGCGGTGGCGACAGATCGTAACGGTGCTGAGATCAAGATGGAGGATACCGTGAAAGAATTTGGGGGAGAGTCTAGGTCTGGCAGAATTCTACATATTCATCGATCCTATCTCTTCTTGAAGAGTTCCGAACTGAGCGAGAACGCTGGTATATTTGTGGCGCGAACTACCAGCGTCCAAAGTGTCTCTGCCAAGGGAGGACGCATCACTGAAAATGCGGCGTCACCGGATCTTAGCTCTATGAACCCGGCAATGAAGCTCAACCCCAAGAGTAACGGTCAAATGCTTCCACCTAAATCATTTGGTCGTGATAAATCTATCGGACAGACTGTTACAATCCGCAAAGGTCCATACAAGGGATTACTCGGTATTGTTAAAGATACCACAGACACCCATGCAAGAGTAGAATTACACACCAAGAGCAAGGTAATCAGTGTGCCAAAAGACTGCCTTGGATTCAAGGACAAGATAAGTGGGGCATCGGTAGATCCAAATGGTTTCAGAGGTGGTCCTGGTGGTGGTAGAGGAGGAGGGGCTCCAAGAGGTCGTGGTGGGTATGGAGGTGCAACTCCTGGACCAGGTTGGGACTCTGGTGCTGGTGGACGAACACCAATGCCAGGTGGTCTTCCTGAGCGCACTCCAGCTTGGGGAAGAAGTAAGTTGATTCTATCTTATTCGCAAACATTTACTAACATCTTTAGCTCCTCATGGTGGTGCCCAAGGTGGACGAACGCCTGCCTGGAAGTCTGGTCCTACTGATGGTGGGCGAACACCTGGTTGGTCGAACGATGGATCCCGAACTGTTTATGCCGCAAATGATGGTAGTCGGACAGCCTATGGAGGTGGCAATAGAACACCTGCTTGGTCATCTGGTGCTAAAACCCCAGCCTATGGCCTATCAGATAACTACGGATCCAAAACACCCGCGTATGGCGGTAGTGGCAATGCTGGAGATGCATGGGGTTCGAAGACTCCAGCCTATCAACCAAATAATTCAAACGACAACTGGAACTCCGGCCAATCCAATAACAATAATTGGGGAACAGCCTACGATGCTCCAACCCCTGGTGGTCCTTTATCGGCACCTACACCAGCTGCAATGAATGCACCAACCCCAGGTGGATATTCTGCTCCCACACCAGCTGCAATGAACGCTCCAACTCCCGGGGCTTATTCGGCGCCAACACCAGCTCCGGGTTATTGGGGTGCTCCTACACCTCAAGCTATGGATGCTCCTACACCTGGACCAGGATATTATGCAGGTGCCCCTACACCGGGTGCTTATGCTGCGGATACTCCAGCAGGTAATTGGCAGGATGATGGTCCTAGATACGTGGATTAATGGTGATAAGTTGCATTTACTTGTGGGTTGGCATGCACGCGTCGGTGGTTCGGAGGAACCTTATTGATAACAATGGAGCGAAGGAGTTTTCTTTTTTCTGAAGTTATATCTTGGGCATGTTTGAACAGAATGGTCACCAAGGGAATCCCGATTTTCGGGCAGAAAAGCGCGTAAATGCGTGAGATATCAAGGTTTACAAATCAAAGCAAGATTGTTCATATGGAATCTTCTCTTACACTTCATCCCCCATTATTCGTCCTTCGCATCAATATGAGCATCTGAACTCCACCCTTTTAAATAATCAGTGACCAGTGTACAATACTACCACTACTCCAAGCAATAATCCATGTAACCTATTCATTCATCTCTACAATCACAACCACCCATTTAAAATTTGAAACTTCCAATGAGCTGTAATGGTAGGTAGGTAATTAAAGCAATATCTCGATTTTAGTGAATGGCGAGTGTTCCTCTTGGTGAAGCTTTAGTAGTAGATATAGTGAGACTTATCAAAGGTAAAGCAGATAGAACATCGATTGTCCCCTTCTGGGTATAGATGATGGAAGAACTGTGTGTATGGGATAGCAGGAATGAGGAATGAGGAATGAGGAGAATTTGTATGATTGCGTACTTGTGATCCTACGGCATCCAATTGACCCTTGCACAGAATTCATCTTCCAGTAATCTGTGAGGTTGCTTGGCTTGGGGAGAGACAATGTTGGCTTCTACACTGCCATACCGTGCCCAGCCATGTTATCTCGATTAATATGAATGTATCAGATTTTGTTGCACCTTTCGTGATCGATCGGGCTGCTCGTTTAGTCGGCGCGGGGAGAAAGCTGGATGGATTTGAGTTTGGGTTTGAGGAAGACATGGCGTGGTGAAGTGGAGTTTGAAAGTGGATATATGTAGTATGTATGTATGTATGTATGTTATATGATGTGATCATTATACTCGTGTGGCCAAAAAGTATGCAACTCCCAATCCCGATGTACATGCCACAAGATGATAAACTGGTTTTATCGCGGCAGCGTTGCATACAGCACGGGTATTTGTTGGGCTAGCGATTCCGATTGGGTTGATTTTTGAGGAGGATATGGCGCGCGTGGTGTGATGGGTTGTGAGGTGTGGAGAACTCACTTGGAACAGATGTATAATATATGTATTCATGTATATCTCATAAATTGATCAATATATTTGTTATCGCATATTCGATGATAACATTAGGTAGGTGGTAGTACCCATACTGGTGGGGATCGAATAGACCATTTCGTAACCAACGTTACGTTCGTTTGCTGTTGCCATATTTGAATGTCACTGGACTGGAGTGGGCTGGGGATTCCCCATGTTTATCTGGATACCAAGGGACTTTATCGGCAGTTCGTTAACACGTGTGTAGAGATCTAAGCTTATTTTATATGGATTAATAGTTCACTTCCAAGAGTGGTATTCGCGTGTTAATTAGGATCTATCTTGGTAGATTGATGGTAGATTGATTGTAGGTATCTCGGATGTATGTATAACTTCATCTCATATCTCTCCGAACCTACCGGTAATGTTCAATGCCGGGATATCAAAGTGTGTTTTCTATTCAGATCATGAATGACGAATCTCTTTAGGGAAAAGGTAACTTTTGAGTTCGAGAGTGGGAGTTTGTTCTATCATACTCCGCACACAGTTCATAACTAACAATCGATGCTCAAGTTTCATCTAGACCTACGAGTATACTGTTGCATTCGTACACCTTGTATCTCAACGAAATCTTGCCTTCCTATTTAACTCATAGTACAATTGTTGGTACTATCTAGAGATACTATCCACCTACCCAGTACCTCCAATATACATATAGATCCTAGCCATGCCACGAGGAACAATATCACGACTTTCTCCACGCACCTTCCGGAAGCGCTTGGGCGGGCTAGTAAGGGTGGCACGGTGAAGACATCGCATGCTGGGTTGACAGGGATAGATTGAAGGATGGGGAATAGTTTCTGGATGAGTGGAAAGAATGAGGAAGGGAGGCGACATCGGAGTTACTTGATTTAATTGTAGAAGGTTGGAAAAGGTTGGGCACTAGATGGAAAACTCTGACCTGGTAGACGCAATTATTGGTGGAGGGGATGAAATTGAGTGATGATTGACATGGCAGACATGAGATTCGATGGCTTCGTCAATACTAATACATGATTGGCATGAGATTGCGTACTTTGCTGAACTGACATACAGGAAGGAACGATGGTCCGATGTTGACAAGAAAACGTGCGGTTGTAGCTTCGATTATCAATCATCATGGTGATTGTGATTGTAAGCGATGAAATGGCTTGGTAATTGATCTATAATTGATATCTTAGTTCAATTCCAAGCAAATTCAATCAAGCCGTCTATGGTGTGAACAAATGATATGTTAGAGAAAGTTGCAACCTAGAAGTCTTGTCATCATTTATCACGGGATATCATCGCGATACCGAACCGATGTGACACTTCCCTTTTTTGGAGAATTCTTGAACCCAGAAGAATTAAACAATATGTAGCTTATTATCATTCTCGTCTCCAAATTATTTTCATGGATTCAGAGTTCGGCTGTAGATATTCAACTTCCTCATTTTTACCCCTTCATCACTTATCATCACTTATCATCTCTCTCTCGCTAGAGGGAGGTAAAGTTAGTAACCTTTTGAGCCGCCACCGGTGAGCTTAAAATTATATTGTGATCGTTTTGACTTCCAGTCATTGACTAATAATACCTCAACACCTGTACAAGTAGTCGTTTCAATAATTCTCTTCGATCTCTTGACCTATTATCTCCTTCACGAAAAAACAAATATATTTCTTTCTTCTTTAAACTTCATAAATACATCCCATCGGCCGAAGGCTAAATTACCTTGTTGTCCTGCTGTAAACTACGCTAACTGTGTAGATCGCAATAATCAAGCTTTCTCATCTAGTGCATTGAAACAACAACCGACGAATATTTCCGATTCACATCTGAAATAGGAAGCCCACCAACCATCCATACATACACCGTACACCATTTTCACCGTATAGTGTGAGTAACGGCAGTCCAATTCCAAGAATTCTGATCATTCTAATTGATCATTCAGTCTTACCGTCCAAGAGATATCACAGTGAAACTAAACAGATGAAAAGCTTGCGAGCATTATCAAATGATCAATTAAGATATCATCATCATCGAAAAAGACGTTAAGGAAGACATTTTCAAAAGAAGATATCAATCCCATCGTACCCAACCATATCTGATTGAACAATCTACAACATTGTACCCAGTCTATCTCGGTCTGGTCATAAGGACACAAACATTCCCCCTTCGTCCTCTTTAATATCTGCTCCACCTTCCAAGTTAGAGGGCCTTCTCGATAGAGCAGATCAAACGAGCTTTCTTTCGTTTAACAGAGGATCTATCAAATGGAGAACGAAAAATACTTGCATGGTGGGTTGGATCCCGGCATCGAATCGACTGTACAGTTAGTCGAGGCAGTGGAAAGTCCGGATATGAGCAGTTTCTTCTCTTCCCAGGAAGCACTATCCTCTGAATTATCTCAATCCAAAAATGCGGCATTTCCGGGTACGTATCTTTCTTTGTTGCATTGTATTTGCTTGGTGTTCTTGGCTTTCGAGCTGTGTTTTTTCGCTTGATGGAAATGACAAGGCCTTGTACTTAAGCATAAGTCCCAATTACTGTATGCATCTGAAAGAATCACGGCTGATAGCAATCCTTCCATTAGGCATCAAACCCCCCATTGAAATCCAGCTCAGGCTAGCCCGCCTTCCGGTTGAGATACTTCGCCAAGTTTCTTCCTATCTTTCGCCATGCGATCTGATAAATCTGGGCAAGTCGTGCAAGATATTGTATGATATCACAGAAACTGATTCACTTTGGCGGCACCTCGTACAAGAAAATGTCCCCGGTATCAAGCTTAATTCTCCTTTTCCATGCGAGTCTTTTAAGAAACTTTACCAATCTCATGATCCTCACTGGTTCCTGACCAAGAACAAACTATGGTTTGGCGATTCTGATTACTACGGGCAGCTTATGATTTCTAAATACAACCCTGAGAATGGCTCTATCGGATTATACAGACTTCTAACCCAAAGATCAACACCTCAATTTTGTACATGGAAGGATGATACGTCAGTCGTGATTCATTGCTTTGACCCCAGAACGCATTTAGCTACTTGTCCTCAGCAACTAGACCTCCATTCTTATTCGCACCGGTCCCTATCAGATACGGGTCATGCTGAACGCAGGCTCAAGGGCGAGGTACCGCTAAAAGTGGTCGATCGCGGAAATTCTAGTCGGGAATGTCCTTCTAGGTTCTTGCTATCAAAATTGTTAGTAGGTAATCAGCCCAACAGGCCGCAAGCGAATAAATGGCCACCGCCAAAGATTCCAGCAAAATTTCGAGCAGATCGTCCTACCATTTTCGATAATTCATGTACAGCTACATGGGGTCGACCCGAGAGTCGTTCTCAGATCAATGAGAAATCATTTCGAATTAGAGGCTGGATGGAAATGAATGGTCTGGTACAAATAGGAGATCAAATCCAAACATATTCGACTCTTGATTTTGAATTGTATACACCCACAGAGGACAAGCCTTATAGAGGTATCTTTGTAAGTTTGCTCTCATTTTATACTCGCTTCCTCAATTCACTTAAATCTGAGCTCTCATCGAGAAGTTCAACGGAAACTTTGCCTGTTTACCAAAGGCTCTCAATTTTATATCCCTTCTGTACATTCATGACCTTTCCAAGGCTGTTGAAATCTACACGATATGACTTACATTATGTACAATCAACGAAGAAATTAGCAAGGTCTTCAACAGTCCGGATATCTGGGTAAAGGATATCTCAAAGGTTTCTGATCTTTTTTCGCACGTTCGATTTGTCTAGGACACTGAATTCAATTAGAACAAAACTCACTTGAAAAATCAAACCACTCTCAGAGATTTATAACTTTGCAGAACTGAGAGACGCCACACCAGCCTACTAATTAAACAACCCGGGTTCAACTGATCATGACCAAATCAGGATCTCAAATTCACCTGCTGATTCAAATCACAACTTTAGGTCGGGGACTACTCAGGTCATGGTTGCGAATATCTACTATTAGATCAACGAGATGGAACTCAGAAACAGGACGAACCAAATATATCGAAGTTAAGAGGCGAATCGCACGAAGCGTGGGAAGCAAGAAAAAGACAAGCACGAACTCCCACAGGTTCTCTATGCGCTATTAAATTGACTGGAGATCCAAATATACCTCGAGGGGAAATTACATGGGTCGCTGATGATATTAGTGACAAGGGGCTAGTTCGTTATGGCGAGAAGGATTGGCCTGGTGCAAGAATCGTGAGGAGTCGCGGTCAAATTGCCAATCAAGGATATAAAAATCGTATTTGTTTCCTTTCTCCAGCAATTGTATAGGGATTCTTACTGACTGTTAATAGCAAAATATATCGAAACGGAGCTGATAATGATATCCCCAGACGTGTTGGCACAGCACTGGGTACCCTTCGGGCATATCTCTTTCTTTCATAGAGTAGATATTGACAGCTATGTAAATCAATAGCTGGAAAATTATATGGAGGAACATAATATGAAGGAAGGATAAGACCTCTGTGATATCTTGAAGATGGTCTAGATGACTGAATTAAGTTTGGGATGATATCTATTCGGGAGCGCGATGGTCAAACTAAGCGGCATACCAGACTCGAACGAACTACCTAGGACTATGAGGACTATCTGATGATAAGTTTCGATTTTACGATTCAACGCGAAAGTTGGTCCTTCAGTATCTGATGATACGACCGGCATGTTTTGTTTTTTTTGTTTTTTTCTGCTATTCATTGCACTTACTGCGTTTATTGCACAGTATGGATGGAGTTTTGAATGATAATACACCAGGAGTTTAAAGGATTGGATCTATTTTAGGATACTATTATCGCTTTGTTTCTTTGTACATAAACTGATACCTAGCTATTTTAATAACAATTCATCATATGGTTTACAGAACTTTTTCGTTGTTCTCAGGTTTTTGATCAGATGGTAAGAATGATTTTTCTGAAGTTCAGTTCTTCCTCTGAGATGTCTACATGCGGGACGAATCAAAACTTATGTTAAATATAAATGCTACAAACTGTCGAAACTTGGAGGATTGACTTTATATAACTGGCAAGCTTGAATACAGATATCAAGAGATTGATCTTTAATTAAAAGTCCAGAAGTTATATATCCATAGATATGATCTCCCAATTCTATTTCATCTATTTGTCCATCTCCCTCTACTTTATTTACTATGCCTCACCTCCATCAGTCACTCGTTGCGTCAAGCACATATGCACAGACCATCCAAATCCCAAACTCGACCCCACACTCGACAAAATCCTCCACTTCTCAAGCTCTTCAATTGGTTTTCAAATTTGGGTATATTTTAAAACAACGCGAAGTTATCATAACAAACAACAAGGACTTGTGGTGTAGTGGTTATCACGTCTGCTTTACACGCTAATCCGAGTTCGGATTACTTGAGATCGCAGCAGGTCCCCGGTTCGACCCCGGGCAGGTTCATTAGCTTTTTGCTTTTTTTGGTTGAAGGTTTTGGGAGATTTGGGAGGAATTTTTTGGAGGGAGAGAGAGAGGAAGGAGGGAAAGATGATATGGGGAATGGATATGTGGGGTGTAATTAACCTGACGGTTGTGGGTGGCTGGCTGTTCGTGGTATACGATGAATGCTCCACCTAACTATGGGTCACCAATCATATTGGGATAAATAGTTATCATGATATGCGTGTCCTGATTTTCGTCTCACCGCTTTTGAAATCAAGGATTATGTTCGATGGGCAGAATGATCTGATTGCTGGCAAATTAAAGGCGGTGAGACAAAAATTATGGCCTTGGATACACTAACTCAGTCGACTTCTGATACTTGTAGTGAATCAATTATTTGCTTTGTTTTTCCTTCTCCATAAATAGACAGACAAGTGGGAGCGACTCCTGGTAGAGGGATGGTCTCGAATTATTGCAGTGTTGAGGTAGCATAGGTAGGTGGTATAGGTGTAGGTGTAGGTGTGCTGACAGCGAATTTTGAATGTGGTGTTTTGGTGACTGGTTTGGAATTGGGGGAGGGAGGATGGTTTGGATGATGATGTCGAGGGGAGGGAACGTTGGAACTCGTAGTAGTCAAGGTGAGAGAAACTTAGTTACACGGCATAGAATTTGAAGTTCGTTGTGTTATGTTCGAACCGATTCGGGGGATACTGAGTGGTATTCATACTTATTTTATGAGTACCGATATTGGAGATGAGAAGTGTACACCGTAAGGAAGCATTGTAGATGAGCGTTGCAGGTGTTTGAATTCAGTTTCTTGTCTGAATTTACTTGAATGTCTAAAGTCAGTTGGATATCTCAGTCCATCTTAATCTCTAAATTCAGTTTGATTTTCAATTTGGTTGAATATCTGAACTTAGTGTAATGTCCGAATTAATCTAAATGTTTGAATTTGTTTGAATGTCCGAAATCAGTTGAATGTCTTCGTTAAACTCAATACCTCCAAATATCCGACAACCAAGAGCTCCTCGTCGTCGGACTAGGAGTACAATCCGTATCCTCTACATACCTACCCGTAGTTTTTCCTCCGGGCCAATCAACTACCTTCCATCCTCCTTTAGGTTCTCGATATATCTTGCTCCATTTGGTTTCCTTGATCTTTATAGCTTTGTTTCCCTTCGCCGTCGCTACTCTTTTGCATCTTGCACAGCTGTTTAAACTCCATAGTCTTGATTTCCCGGAGGCTTTTGGGCATGAAGATCTGACTTTGTGGGATTTGTTTTTCAATTGGAGAGAACAGCTATGAGTGTATTTGGTTATGTGGGAACAATCATGGTGGGTGTGGGTGATGGTACACATGATTTTGGTTGCAGCTATTATGCTAAGTATAATGAGATTCGGAAAGATAATTTGGGTATTTATATTTGATATGGCGGTGACTGAATTTCGATAGTATTTGTGGTTCCTGTATGTATTTGGTGAATCTCGATACCTTTTAAACAAGATGTGAACAATGTGGTTGTTCGCTGCAAAGCTTTTGTACTGGAACGTAACAAAGAAAGCAGATTATGAAGTTCAGGGTTGGAACTACAAAGAAGACAAACAACGTTTGGTAATGTTCTTAGACATTGAAATATTGCTCAAAGGCCTAGAGAATTTCTTTATGTTGTTTCATTGTGAAGAACAATCGCTTTATTTATAGTCTGAACTGGGAATTGGGTGCTATAAAGATTCATTTCGTGAAGGCGTGGAAGTACCTTGTGTTAAATCTTCGTTCTTAGGTATCCGGAGCAAATAGATAGGTGAAGGAGAGAAACAGAATGGGATCAGAACAACCCTCTACCATGAGGTATAAATCTGGCGGATTCTATACTTCTAAATTCTCATCAAATCATCACTCCTTTGATTAACACTCCAAACCCTACAACAACAACTCAAACCAACCAAGAAAACACCAGGTCAACTTACCAACCACATCATGTGTAACTGGATCTGCACCATTGAGGTTTGCCCCACTTGCGACAGCAAGCAGAAGACTAGCTACGAGGCGTTCCACTGTGAAGCCAATTGCTACCCTGTCCGCCGAAACGCTTTCTTTTGTAAAAACTACAGAAAACTCAACAACGAGATCATAGCTGAATCTCCATGCGTCGATTGCGAAGAGCAGATATCTGTCTTCGAAGTCTCGGACTCAAGCGAGGATGAGCAGAAGACGGAAAAGGACAGCGAGACTGTTGCAGTTGACGACATTTCGGAAGATGAACGTGACCTAGATGATGGGAACATGTCCGATGTCTCAGAAGTTTCAGCACTCTCAGACGAAGATGATCAAGATCATGAGACAGTCATGGAAGGTTTGATGGCAGGACAAATTCAGTACGACGACGATGACACTTTTGACGTGCAGGGATTCTTCTGCGATCCAGACTTGGACGCAGAGGAATCACCGTTCTGGCCCAGACTCGACATGTTGAGAAGAGGGCATGATTAGATTGGCTGGACCAATCACACCGGACCTCTTTGACTGCGAGAGATGGAATTTGTTATTTTCCTTAATAGATAGATATTGTACCTAATTAATTTTGAATATTTGAATGTGAGTCCCGAATGTGAGTTGAATGAACTAGATATTGAACCGAAAGGTTGGAGAGAAATGAAATTGACCTTGGAGAAATGAAAGACGGGATCGAAGTCGTCTCGGGGAAGAATCGATCCTGACACATGAATGACGATCTAATGGTTAATTTTTGACGATATGTAGTCGGATAGAATGTAAATGAATTCCAACTATGGAAGTATATGGGAGCAGTGAGGAGGACTCGGGATATTGACGTTGACAAGAGGAGACAACCTCGGCAATTGCTTGGAGAAATGTGGCTATACCTAATCTAGCTTAGTATATGCCTTCGTCTCTCTGACCTAGGACCTTTCTAATAAGCACAATTGCAATGAAATGTAAAGAGTTTATGATGGCCCGTGTAATGCATCTCCGTTTATCACTTTCTTACCATACAATGTACGTGGTCTGCCTGATCGAAGGAGCTGGGCGCCAAGCGGAGCTGAAATGCTGCAATGCTAATAAGGACAATACTACAATTCCAGCACAATAATGTAAGTATTTCTCTTGAACATGTTATCTCGGCTTTTGAATTCTACGCTGGAAAAGCTGTCAATCAAAGAAGCAACGCCTGTGGAATCTCCTAAGGATTTATATCCAACTTTGTCTTTCCCTCCGCCTCATCCGGCGGGGAACGGAACTCGATCAATATGTGCACGATGTCTCACCCTACTGTCACATATGATAAAATTATATGGAGATGGAACAAAGCATGATAAACTTCAGATTGTGCACTCTCCATCTATGCGAGTACGCGATTTTCGACCGACATACACAAGTCTATGGATAAATCCTAAGGATTATCCCGAGGAGGATCCATTAGATGAGAATTGCGTTATATGTGCAAAGATCAAAATTCTTTTTGATGCAATGCAAGCACATGCATCATTTGAACATTCCTTGCGAGATGCACCTTATGAGGACTGGAGTTTAACTTGGGCGGGAAGCATAGATATTCCGAATAGATGTCTTAGTGTCCTTGTTTCCACAAAACACAAGAGCGGGCTTTCATGGGGAATTGGTATGTATCTACAACGAAATCTATGAAAACCCGTGGCAGCATAGTGATTTAACGTATGATCAGGTGGCTTTAAGGTCTACCCCAGTGCGGAGAATGATACTGTACATATACCGGCCTCCGAGGAAATGTCCCATGATTACCCTGTTATTGTACCACTGGATTTCCAGGATCCCACAGTGCAAGATACTGGCATTATTCAACCTGAATACGCTGCTATCTGTTCAACACTTAGCGGTACAACAATGGGCAGGGTAAAGTCATGGTTGAGTACTTGTGCAAACTCCCATACAAAGTGTCGCAAGATATTTAGTAAGGGTGGTGATGATCAATATGAGCCGGAAACACATTGGTTTCCAGATCGCCTACTTAAAATTACTCGAGACGACTCTGAGCCTGGATATTGTGATATCAGTGCACGTTTGGTAGTCAGATCTGATCCTGCTGACTTTCTTCCTGGATGGATGGGTTTAGAATATGCTTCCCTCTCTCATTCTTGGGGTCCATCGCCGGATCCTTCTGCTCCGCTTGGTGGTCGTGCTGGAGAGGTGCTCACTGAATCAAATCTTGCCCTTTGGCGAGTTGACGTGCCACTCGATGATCTTCCACTCACCTTCAGGCATGCAATAATTGTCTGTGTAGCGCTAGGATTTCAGTATATCTGGATTGATAGCTTATGTATTATTCAGGACAGCCTTGAAGATTGGCAAGAGCAGAGCGCTATGATGAGAGATGTTTACAAGTTTGCATGGTTAAACATTGCGGCTCTGTCCACTTCATCTGACTATGACGGTTTTATCAATGAATATCGAGATCCACGAGCTGAGTTTGGATTTCGGACTTCTTTTGCATCTATCCTTGGCCATGATCTTGGACAAAAGAACGCCGATAATGACGACTGCTTATTACTTAGTGGCGTAGCAAGGCTTTTGTGGAACTTCACCTCTGATATACCAGGCAATACTGTATCGAATGCACCTTTATACACACGAGCATGGGTATATCAAGAGCGCAATCTTGCTCGACGAACTCTCGCTTTTTCAAAGAACAGTGTGTATTGGGCCTGTGATGAACACTCTGGTGGAGAACAACCCGAATGGTCTGGTGTTGAAGGGTCAAGTTTACGAAGAACATTACACTTTGTACGAGAAACGGCTACATTGAACCCTCCTTCTGAAGAGCACCTATTACGGGTACTAAAAGATTTCGAAAGAACCTGGCAATCCACCGTAGCAGCATACACACGTTGCAAATTGACAAATAGCATTGATAAACTCATTGCCATTTCATCCATCGCTCAAGAACTGGGCGCAATGATGCCACTGAAATATCTCGCGGGACTATATGATTTCAACGTTGTGCATCAACTGACTTGGGTCAACGTAGATGGACGAACCACACCGCCAAGAAAGCGAGTTGGAGACCCGGAGTACGTAGCTCCAAGTTGGAGTTGGGCCAGTGTCGAGGCACCAATACATAATTATACCATCACTGCATCCGGCGTCAGTCCAAAATATGAAGAAACCCCTGGTCTTAAACAATTCGCACTAGCCAATGCAATAGTCGCAGATGTGGCACTTGAAACAGAGTATCTCTTTGGTCTTGTTAAAGCGGGATGGGTGAGATTACGTGGACGTTTAAATCGTGTAAAGGCAGCTTACAAGAGAGCACCGAGTTGGAATGCTTGGGAAAAAAGTGTTCAGCTTATTGACGAAAACACGGGACAAGGTATATGGTTTACCGGGGATACGGTAGAGGCATATGAGATTATTAGTTGGAATACGGGCATCAGAAGCTTGGTATGGATGCCGCTGCTAATATCATTCGATAGCACTGTGTCATGTCAATGCATCTTCCTCGTTGAGGTGGATGCTTCAGATCAAATTGGCGATGATGGTAAATTCGTCAATCCGGGAGAGAAAGTATACAGAAGGGTCGGAAGTGGAAATTTCGGGAGCGTTACGAGTAGTTATCGACAAAATAAATTGCTCATGGAATTGGGGTCATATCCGTTTACGCGAGCCAATGATGGTCAAGGACAGGCGTTAGCAAATGGGTTTAAGAAAAGAGAAGATGGATTCGAGCAGATAGTTATCATTTGAACAGGTGAGATTTCTAGTATATATTGAAAAGCTTGAAGTTCCCGAATACTCTCGATCACAACCAAATCAACTATGAAGACTATGAATTTTGCAACCCGACGCTACACACTCGGTTAATTGAATCGGTTAAGACATAGTGCATTCTTCACATCATTTTTAAGCCAACGCTCGCGTTGTTTTAGCGCTCTCATACCAGAAAGTGGGCGTGGGAGTAGAAGTGTAGATACAAAAGGGAAACTCCTTATGGCCTTCCGCTTCCCATATCCTTTTCACAGTCCGATGATTGTTCCAATTGACTTGATTGTTTCGGCTGACATGATTATTCCACTTGATCTAATTATTCTCTATGATCTAATTGTTCTACTTAATATAACTATTTCAACTGATGTGATTATTTCGGTTGATATAATTTTTCTATATAATCTAATTGTTTTATTTTATATGATTGTTTTAGCTGATATGATTATTTAGTTTGATTTAATTGTTCTATTTTATATGATTGTCCCAAATGATATAATTGTCCTCATTGATCTCATTAACTATTCTAAATATCCTTCATCTCCCGATATATATCATCATGTTATCACTGCCAGTATCCCCTGAATCATCGCCTATCGAGACTATCTAGAAACTTCGCAGGGTCTCCGGGCTCTGCAGCGTAATTCTGTAATACGTTAATATCGGTAGCACCGATGGAGCATTCTGTTAAGAGATCATTGTCGGTAGCTGGTCTCGCGTGTATTGTATATATATACCGTTTCTTTATCTCCGCTTCCTAACAGAGCAATGCTAAGTCTAGGATTCTGGATGAACTCCTCTGCATGGTTATAGCTGGGGCCTGAGTGCGTCTCAATACTGCAAAAGAATAGGACAATGGTGAAGTTGCAAGTTGAGGGGAAGTAATGCTATGAAGGAAAGTGGTCCGAGTGAAAACAGGGGGATGGTATGGAGGAGAAGAAGTCAAGTCTCAGCTTCAAGCATATTCAGTGAATACCTGTCGGTCATGAACCGCAAAAGATGATTCCATTCTCCGCATCTGTAAACATACCTCCTCCTTCCCTTTCAGTTCACGTTTGATTTAACCCACCTTCTATTCTCACCTTATACTCTCTCACCTTATACTCTCTTACTTTCCAAAAAAAGAACCTCATGATCTGATACACTTCCATCTCAAGTTGAACGAATTTAAGATGCAAACTACTTCTATCTTCTCCAAGGACTTCGGAGCTGACCTTGATCCTATTTTAGACCAGAGAATCAAAAGCTTCGGTAACATTCCCCCCTTCAAGGTGAGTAAACACTCCAGACCACTAGCATCGATTTACATCCATTATTGGTGCTGATATACTCTAGATGGCGACGAGATCATCAAAGACAACAGAACATCAAATGGCAGAGTAGGTCTTCACTACTACCGGATGGCATGTCTCCAGGCCTGAAGATCTCTCCAACGGCGTCACATTCATAATTGCGCATCCACCGTGTTCGAAAAACTTCAAAACAATCGTGGAGAGTTTGCAAAAGGAGGGATTTGTGACCCACAGAGCTTCTTTGGGTTTGAGTTTGCGAGAAAAGGGGCTTTCGATGGAAGCCGCTGAGGTTCAAAAGTATTTGATCGTCGGAATTACGTTTCTTAACCTGCCAGCTGCTATCGAGAAGAAATGTCCAACGGTAAAGAAAGGAGGTACCGTCGGTACAAAGGCTGGAGACGGCAACAAAGCTGACTTGGTTGGTTCAATGGCTCCATATCTGGTAGTAACCCCAGAGATATTAGAAGACGAGGAGAGTGGATCGAGAAGAACGAATTTGTACGCTCTCATCATGGAGAAGCCTGCACCAAATGATCTCTGTCTCCCAACGATCGTTTCACAATCAAAGGTGTTCTATTTAGCTAGGTATCGTGATGGTTCGACAACAAGGGATAGGAGATCTGCAAAATGGAACAAGCTGGCTGCTAAAGAAGGTATTCGGATTGCACCACTAGCAGCGATTTCGACAACACAAGAGCGACAAGCAACATCTCGAGATACTACTAAAGTAGTAGTAGACCCTGTTCTATCACTCAGGAACGGTATTCGCCACCATCTGACCTCATATCCGGTGTTACTGGAACCATGGCATCTTCAGGAAGCATTGCTTATCATGGAGCAAGCAGTCGAGAACCCCAAGGACGTGCACGCTCCATCAAACACAGCTTTGAGGGCATTTCTTGACAACAAGCATGATGATTTTGATGAGGATGATGCAGAGACTATGATCAAGGAAATGACTTCGCTTTGGCCCGGATTTGAGAAATTCCTTACTACCGATTTACTCACATTAAAGAAGCTAATCACGGAAGCAAATGTGTTTGTTGAGTACAGATTGCTTCGTCCTTTCTGGCAGAGGCAACCTACCTGCTAAAGGCGCTTAACAAAAGTCAAGGCCAATCTGGAATCGTAGAGACTGCTTTGCAGACAGTCACGAGAGTCATGACGAGCAATGGGTTCGTGGTTCAAAAGGAAATCCCCAAGGATATGGAGCTCCTATCAAATTTTCGAAAAGGACCGGAAAGCGTTAGTGGAAGTAGTGAGGCACTCGATGAGGTAATGAGAGATTCGGATGGTGATGAGATGGACACTGCATCATCCTAGGCTACCTGAGCATAGTTCTTCGCTGCTACCGATTAAGACTCAGCAAGAGCCACTTGGATGTAGAATGCGAGGAACTCGGTAGTTGCATCTAGGAATTGTGAGCGAGGTATGGTGGTTGAATGAGCATATGATTGCATGGTTTTCCCTCTCTTTTTATGAAAGCATGGTTTCACAAAACACGTTTAGACCTCAAGGATTGATGATTCAATCATGGGATTGGGGGAACGAAATTATCATATAGCTGCGCGATTTTCCATTTTCTGTCTATGAAAGTATAGTTTTATGACACGTTTATTAGAAAAGATATCACATATAGCTTTTTTTTTTCGTGGTTTATGTTTTTGGATGTTTGAGCAGTGCCCAACTTTGCTATCAAAATCGACAAAACGTTTTCCATCTCCCATTCTCAAACACTTTGCCCCACCCCCCATCATTCCCATCTCGAAGATAGTTTTCCATGGGGTAAACGGTTCTGCCTTGCAGAGAAACTTTTGGAAATGCTGAATCGGACCCACACTCAAACTGGCAAATGTGCGGCAATTGTGGACACGATGGTTGTGGACTGTGTCAGGCTTCCTTATTTTTCTTCCACATACAAAACTTTTCCTATAGGGTGAGTGGGGGAGGAGGCGATTAGCAGATTTTTACTGCAGTCTGCTTAGGAGTCCTTGCTTTCCCATAATAACCTTATGCATACATCGTTCCTGTAGAATAAGTCGGGGCAGGAGGCGGTTTGACAGTCTCCACTGCTTAAGGCGTCCTTGTTTTCTGTGCCCAATTGTTAAGGCTTCCTAATTTCCATCAAACACATTTCCCAATGCCCAATGCCTGGTCTTAAGCGCTGCGATGGATCCATCAAAATTCCATATTTCAAACTTGCTGAAATTAATTTGTTGCCTATCTAGAAAATATGCTTTCGCGTAGTTGGAGGCAAGGGCGAAATTTTCGTGGGAGTCTTTACGAATCCGAAGAAGTGCCAAGCTGGATATTCCTTGTGCACTTGCACATAATATGTTACACCAAGAATCCGAAGGTACCCCGAATGCAATATGTCAAAGGGTACCTACTCCACAACTTTCATGGATGATAATGAGTTTGACGGGCTTCCCGTATCAAGTCCTTCCCTTCTTCCATGTGAATTTCCCCGAACGGAGCACGAGCCGATACGCTGAGTTGGCCGCACGCAATGTTCCAACTCGCGTTTGAAGCGCTCACTTGGCCGCAATAGTTATTGATGATAATATACCTACCGGCAATGGTGGCCGTTATCCGTAATGTCACAGGGTACCTACATATTGTATGTTCATCTTTCGTCACAAATTGCTTGGGAGGAGGTTGGAAAGTAAAAAGTTCAGAGATGGATAGTTCAAGGAATACTTAGGTAGACCTATTCTGTGAGATTAAAAAAGCAGTAGGATTCAGAGAGTGGATATTCGAGATCTAGCTTAACGCGCTGTATCCAATGAATATGAAGTTAAAAGAAATATGGTATGATCATGATGATATCTGGGCCGGGCTGGAAATGGAAATGGAAATTTCGCGATGAAATCAACGACCAATGACCAAGTTTTTGAACGGAGTATATCCTGTTTGAAATAAGCGCGTGGGTCGAGGCTTCAGGAAATGACATGGATTTAATTCATTGTTTATATTTTGATCTTGATTTGATGCCTGGTATGTATGCTGGTTTGCTGATTTTGTAGGAGCCTGGGGCCAATTGATTGTTACCTAAAAACAAATACCCCTTCATCTCCGCTTAATTATGATTAACACTTCCTTTTGGCTGTCTACGTAGATAATTTTGCTCTGTACGATATACGATAACTATACGATATTCTATTATTTGGTACTTAATATACATAGTATACACCGTGACCCCAATTAGCTTTAATCTTACCCATAATCCCAAACCTTATTAGCAAATAAGTTCGTACATAGTAAGCGTTCCCCAGCTCAACATCTGGGTATATAGCGGTGGTATTGTGGCAGTAGCGGTATAGCGCACAACAACGGCGGTTATTGGTAGTTCAGAGGCGTTCCGAATAATTAAGGATCTAGGGTCTACGCGTCAGGGGGAAAAAAGTGTTTATTTTTACTACCCAAGGTGGTTAGGTTGTAAGATTCTGAAAGGATTTCCGCCGTACGCAGTGTTCGGCCATCTAACTTGTCCTAGTGATTTGAGATGGCCCCTCGTATCAGACTAACCTTGTAAGCTAGCCTCTTAATCCATTATTACCGAGTATGTATGGAGTACTATCTAATCTTACTATTATTTCTCCATTCCGACACTTTTGGGTCTACTCTACATCGTACTAACACTCCATCTAGTAATTATGTCTAACCTGCTCTTTAGCATTCTTACTTCTTCCTCTTAGCCCTGCTTCGGCAGGAGCGAAACCCCATTCAGTGAACGTTGTTTCCCCACAAATTCTCTTGCGCAAGAACCATAGAATCATATCTTTAACATCCGAAGTTCCACGTTCCCACCACGATGGTTCCGTCAAAATGGAGGCTCAAAGCCAGACTCAAAGTCTATCTGAATGTAATCAGTGTGGTAAAAAATTCCAACGCAAGGCACATTTACTTCGACATCAACAGCAACGTATGTATTCTCCCCATCCCAAAACCCAAGATACTCAAGCGACGATCTTATGCTGTCATCGAATGTGGAGAGTTTCCTGACGTGTGCGAAATCTAGATTCCGGTGTTCGACCATTCAGCTGCATATTCTGTACCAAAACTTTCAAACGCAGGTAAGTACCCAAGAGATACAAAAGCGTGTGTCTTTGTATACTGTTCAATACTCAATACTGACAACATATCATAGCGATGTTCTCCGAGATCATTTCAGCAGATGCGAACTTCGCGGATCAGCCGCCATCCCAGATTCCCTAGAACGAGGGCGGAAACGACACGCTTGCAATGAATGCTCGAGGCTGAAGGTCAAATGTGACAATGAAGTACCATGCCGCAAATGCAAGGAGTTTGGAAGGCGTTGTATCAAAACTTGGGGTAACAGTATGTTGTTAATTTTCACTGGAAGAAAGTTTGCGATATCGTTAACAATATGTTCAAGATTCCGCTTCATCGATAAAAACTTCTGCAAGCCCGGAAACCCCAGCTCCCCGATCTTTAACACCCCTATCTACCACTCCGGAACCTACATCAGATCGAAATTCCATTGGCTTCCTATTGAATTTTCCAAACGAGGCAGAGTTTATGCGCGAATTCCCAAAGGCTTCCACAGGGAGTAGTCCAAAGGAAAGAACTGCGGAATACACAAGCTTGGTTCCTCATAATACAATTCAGCCGTGGGCCACAGGAGACATAATGAACCAGAATATGGCAAGTTTTGGATACACTTCGAGTATGGATGTGGACCAAAACCTGGCCTTTCTTCACAACTTGGAATTCGACACATTTGAAAGACAAACGCATGGATGGCAATTTCCTCAGGATAACTTAATTCCTTGGTCACCAGATGGAATGTTTAACGATCGAAATGTTCTAGAACAACGTGCCTACGATATACGGGAAAAGTTGAGATATGCTGCAAGCTCAATGGTTGGACCGAATGCTATCTCCAAAGAAGTTTTGGAAGCAATTGAGATCCTAACTGCCGATACCATTGCTGCGTATATCAAATTATATTTCAAACATTGGCATCATCATGCACCTATGGTCCACGAAGCTACTTTTAATCCATGTACAGCTGCGTTACCCCTAGTACTTTCGATCATGAGTCTTGGTGCAATGGTAAGCGTGTTTCATATTCCATGAATATCAGAGTTAAATGGCTAATGAAACTTTAGTATTCCAAACAGGCCGATGAGGTAGCGAAGGGAAAGCTCCTTTTGGACATCATTGAAACCTACATCTATTCAATAAATGGATTCAATGACGAATTCGACTTACCCGGTAGAACTTATGCTGATCGTACGAAAAATCTGTCTCAAGAATGGTTGCAATACCAATTAGAGGAATTTCAAGGCGCGTATCTCATTGTGGTTGTGCAATACTGGACGGGAAATGAGATAGCAAGAACACGGGTCAGGCAACAACGCTTCGCAAAACTAATATCAGTGAGTACCGCAAATCATATCTTTTCATGAAGCCGAGCTAATATTGGGCAGATATACCGCTACTTGGAGTTGAATATCGTACAACATTCTCCTGGGTTTGTTATCAAAGACCAATCTTCATTCAGGGATTGGATTCGTAAAGAATCGTATATTAGAACGGCAACTGTGATGATGATGCTGGACAACGCATTTGCAATATTCAACAATCTTACTCCAAGGCTTCAATGGGCAGAGATCGATCTCCCATTTCCTAGCAATGAGGGTTATTTCAAAGCTGCAAAATTTGAGGATCTTAAGGATCATGCAGGTTTTCCCATTTCAAAAATAAAGATAAAGGATGCTTTTCTATTGTTATTTTCTCCTATGGAAAACGCCAAAGAAGACCTGATGCCATTATGCAACCGCAATCTAACTGCTTTAGATATGCAAATGCTCATTCACAGTAAGGCTATCAACTTGCATTAAACCACACACAAGGCTGACTCTATAGTTCTCTACGTTCATATATGGACCTCAACATTTTGTAATCCTTTGGTTCATTTACCCTCAACATCTATTCCTTCAATCGTCGCACCATTCAAACTCGCGATACGAAATTGGAAATTCGTTTGGGATGATATCAAATCAGCGGTAGATGCGGATGAATGGAATAGGCTTGGGTTTGAGAGAACAGCGGAAACTTACTATACTGCGGTTAGAAGTATCCTAGAGGTTTTTGAGTCCAGGAATGGAAAATTTCCTCCTTTTCCTAGCGATTGTGAGAAGGGTGCTCATATGAAAAGGCTTTTGAGCTTTTGATTTGGGAGCATGGAGATTTATATATACACATTGGGAATTCGGGTTTGGGAATCGGAGTGAGTCGGACTTGGTGGAATGGATGGATGGTGTTTTGGTTTCATGGAAAGTGATACTCAAATGCATATTGGGAATACATGGGATTTTATTCAACCAACATATTTATGGGAATGGGTAGGAGTGGAATTTTTTGATATCCGAGAGTGAGGTTTTGAGGAATTGCATTAATCATGGAACACCAAGTTCCCTGTTATCCTTAATCTCCATTTTATAATGTCAATCCATTGCATTCGTGTCTCCAGTTGGAATTATTGATCTTGTGTACTTTTGTAAAATACAAATAAAATAATAACTTAAGTGTTGTTAACAGAGTGGGAAATACGCGTGTGTACTGGTATCTGAGTTCTCAAGTCGAGATTACGAGAATTCTTCTGAAAATATGACGTCTGCTAGTGTATATTATGTGATTGATTGTGGGTATTTGCCGACGGGTTTGAGATCGGCGACGCCCCGAGGTTTAGGAAGTTCTACTAGGGAATAGTGCTAGATTGGAGATCATTGGTAGTCTCTTTCCATTGGAAGGACATGAAAGTGTAAAGATATTTATTAATGTTTATTATTCTTCGTACATCGGAAATTAACAAAACTCTGCTGCGAGAAAAAAAAAGAGGGCGATGGAAGTTTTTAGCAGCAAATACCTAGGTATGTATTGCATTTGATCTTCTTGGGGTAGGTATGTGCGTGTAGCTAGCTTCGGAGGAGTGTACAATTTGGCGATGGATGGGCGAGTAATCGGCGACTAGAAGAGCTGGATGTTTCAGAAAGGGGAGTGAGAAGTGAGAAGTGCCGAGGATGGAGGAGAGAAAGGGAGAGGGAGAGAGAGGCGAGACGAGGAGAGGTCGACCGGGTCGGTGGTAGTTCCTGGAGAAGGATGTTTGCCCGGAGGACCCTCGGTGGAGGGGGGCGAGCGAGTCAGTGGTTGGTAGCATCGGTGATAGGGATGGGATTTTTAATGTCCGTTATGGGTATTATGTTGTGTGGAAACTCGAAACTCGAAACTCGAAACTCAAGGAGATATGGTGATATATTTAGGTTTTTTCTAGGTGATGTCGGTATGGGAAATTGGCTATGGGGAATTAGAATACGATACGTTTTACGTGATGGGAAATTTATCATACATATGTAATAAATATATTTGTTTATTCACATCATGCGATAAACTAGTCTTCATTTGGATGTTAATATGCGCTAGCATTTGATTTTATGCTGATTTTCAGCTTGGTTTTTGGGCGTCTTCATTCGGTAGGTAGTTGATCAGTCTTGCATTTACATCGCGGCAGTGGCGCTTATTGAGTCCATTTCTTCCATCGGCATGGTTGACTCTTGGTATAATGATTCAATTTTTGCAATCCGACTGTCCTAATCGATGGTTGCTGGAACGATGTTCAAACTTATCACATAGAAAGTCCTGAGTTAGTGAAACAAACCAAGCTATAATATCATTCATTACTATTACATTACCACATTCGTAATTGTATCTCCTAATGTTTAGCGATCATCCACTCATCTACAAATTGCCGGGCTATAATAACCTCCAGTATATGCGAATGAAGAATAAATAGTATTTTCGACCCAAAAGAGCAATCAAAGCGATGCACTTACTATGCAAACGGAAAGAATGACGTGTTCATGACCAATGTAGTTGAAGAGGAATCAAATCATGTCAGAGTAGATCAGATCTCATAATCATATATTCATTAAGCATTAAGCAGTATATAGACGGACTCATGAGCAAATCCAATACTCCACCAATCCACACCAGTGGAGGTATCTCCCTATATTCATGGCGCATAGAATATGTCATAATGGGACTATGTTACAGCGATTTCCAAATCCAAAACTATCCGAGACCATCATTCTTCATAAGCATCACCTAGTTCTCTCTTTTTCTAGTTGGGGGGACGAAAGGCTGCGTTGTACGATTGACCCAGCCATTCATGCTCCTTTTGACGCCGAGTGTCTTTTTGGCGCCGCCCGATCCTTGTGCTATTGACATGCTAGTGGTATGCATTGTTCTCGCAGGACGAACCAACGACATCATTGCAGGTTTTGCTGTTAGACCAGGGGCAGGGTCTTCTGGCGCCGGTTCAGCAAGTATTCTAGGTTGCTTTGCTCTAGGTGGAGAGCTAGACAGGAATACATATTTATCGTCTTGTTTCTCTTGAATTCGATTAACGTTTGGTCGAGATAGTGCAGCAGTCGCCCCTAGACGATGTCCGGAAAAAAGTGGAGGTAGAGTTTCGCTATCATTTTGCGAAGTCAATTGCACCAGTCCTTCGGAGGTTGTATTTCGCTGTCTATGTAATTGCGCAACAGCCCTGATCTTTTCTTCTCGACAATCATCGACTATGGGCGCTGGCTTAGTCTCTTTTGGTGGTTCTTGCTTCCCCAAGAACCCCAAAAGTGTACCTTGACCAGTAGCTGGGTCTTTAATTGACCTTTTAGAGCCTTTGGTTTTCTCAATTGTTGAAGACGATTTGATTTCACTCCTGGTTTGATTCGATGATTGTTCGCCAAGAACCTGAAGATGAGAGCCGGCACTAACGAACTCGCTACTCAAGGTAAACTTGGAGGCTCTTCCCATGGTTGTCGTAGGAGTGTTGTTATAAAACACACTCGAAATGCTTCCCGCTTGGTCCGCTATATCAGCATGTCGACGTTTAGCAGGTCGCTGACCCATGGTGAAGTTGGGGTTACCATTACCAACATTCCATTTCGACTCGTCCTCTTTATCATTCTCCGGATCCAAGGGGTAATATGTATCCTCAGTTCGTTCGAGACAAGCAGAGGATCCGGCGATTGATTCTCTAGTCGGAAATGGTCGCCGAAGGATCTGAGCCAGGCACTGAACAGTATTTGAACGTAGCAAAGGGCCCTTGTAGTCTAAATGTGCTCTGAGGCCACGGGCAGAGAGAAAAGGACAAGTCGTTGTCAACTCTTGCAGTGAGTTTTTGAGTGGACAACTCATGTTAAGTAAAGCCTTAGCTCGAGTCATAGCTACATACAATAATCTCCGCTCTTCGTCAGTATCCTCTGCTCTAGAGTGTGGTATACTGCCTTGATATGCACCAGGAATGAAGACTATTGGCCATTCTAGACCTTTAGCAGCATGTATGGTAGATATTGTGACTTGAGGTGTGTTATGTGTTTTGTCTTCCTCCTTCGTTACTTCCGAGGCCAATGCTACATTGGCTAAAAATCGAGAGAGAGAATCGGAAGCGTCGTCTTGTTTCAAACCGTCGATTTGAGGAAGCGATTCATCCTCATAACCATTGGATATAAGCTCTTGAAAGTCTGCAGCCTGAGTCATAAGCTCTTTCACATTGTCCCACTGTGCCTTAGTAATGTCACCGCGGTGTTCCTCAAGCCAGGTCTCGTAAGATGTTTTCTCTATAATAAACTCCAAAATCTTTACAATCGAATTCTCCTTGTTTGAGGGATCCGCAACTTTCTTCATACCCGTCAGGATGATATCAACAAAGACCGAGAGATTTCTCTCAACTGACGATGTAAGCTTGGTTTTTGTTGCGCGTCTTCCCTGCACGGACTTGAGGATTAATGACCAAAGGGTTAGTTTAGATTGTTCTGCCTCTTCGAGTAGAGCCTTTATGGTTACTTCGCCGATTCTTCTCGAGGGATTGTTGATGATTCTCGCCAAAGCATCATTATGATCAGGTAAATTTATCACTCTCAAATAATCCAATAATGTTTTGATTTCTATACGATCATAAAATCGAAGACCGCCTGCAATATGTTAGCTAAGGGTCAATCGCGTAGCTGCTTTTTAAAGGAGGCGCTGATCTGACTGTAAGCTGCACAGTTGGTAGAAGAGATGATGCTTACCAACCATACGGTAGGCTATACCTGCTTTTCCTAGCGAGCTTTCGATTATTCTTGAAAGTGCCGAAGATCTTAACAAAATAGCGAAGTCGTTCAAATCTAGTAGGTCGCCCGTCATACCCATTATCCTTTGTATTTCTTGAATGATCCAGTCTGCTTCCTTCTGAGCGGTTGCGAGTTTGCGGAGAACTGGGCGTGTGCCAACAACATGAGTAGGCAAAAGAGACTTTGCAATTCTGGATGAATCTTGCTCAATTACATTCAGTGCTGTAAGTAGTATGGCGCCCGATGACCGGTAATTTTCCTCCAATGAGATGGTAACTGTATCCGGATATTGTGTAATCATTCGTTTGTAGTTTTTAATTTCGGCAGCTCGAAAGCTATATATGCTTTGATCAGGGTCTCCAACAATAGTGATTCGTTTTTGAGATACAGCAAACAAGCGCATGAGATCAAATTGCACCAGGTTTGTGTCTTGAAACTCGTCGATCAAAACGGCCTCAATGTTTGATACACAGGAGGGATGGAGTCGTAAAAGCTCGACACATCTGACAAGTAAATCGTCGTAGTCGAGCAAGTTCGAAAGCTCCAAGGTTGCTTGGTATTCGGCATGCACAATCTCGAATTCTTGCGTATCTACAGTTTTCTTCTTGGCCTCGGGGACTTTGCTCGCAGATGCGGAGCCCTTTGCTTTTAGGGAGCTTATGCGAGATCGCGCGACTTTTGGATCTATATTCAGACCCTTCCGCTTCACAATTCTTTTGATGATGGCTAGAGAATCATTTGAATCTGCGATTCCAAAGCCTTTTCGAATCCCTATTAAATGTCCGTATTGTGCCAGGTATATTCGCGCAATCCTATGAAATGTTCCCAGTATTAACTTCGATTCCAACCCATTTCCTATCAACTTCCCAATTCTTTCTTTCATCTCTCGAGCTGCCTTGACTGTAAACGTTGCGACAATTATATTACATGGTTGCAATCCTTGTTGTAATAACCAAGCCGTTCGCGACGTCAGAGTGTGTGTTTTCCCACTTCCTGGCCCTGCCAATATAGCGAGGGTATCTGCTTTTGATGAGACTGCCGCTTTTTGTGAAGCATTGAGGCCCTTGAGAAGGCTATCAATGGCCATTTTCGTGGCTTGAATTTCCGCTGGCGGATGTCTCAGGCTTGCGTGTCCTCGAAAATGGGAGATGGTTGGATAAATAAGGTAGGATGAGCATTTGTAATTTTCCTGGAATTTGGAGCATCCGCAAGTTAATTAACAGAATTTTTATATTTTTCTTCTTCCGAATGATTCAATCGTGCTTGATCTTGAGCCTAAAAATCTCGGGAAAGAAAAAGATGGACTCGATAAGGAAGAGGACGACGATGCGCGACGCGATAAATTAGGAATGGGCGTATTTTGATCG